CGTGAATGCATCAAACAACATGGTGATCAGGGAGTTTCTGTATCCAAGTAGGCTTTTAGTCTCATGAGGTTTCCGATTTTGTCCCATGTCTCTATGTGTAAGGTTTCTACAAGCGGCAGTTCTGGTGCCACAGATCTAACGCATCACACCAGCTCTGTTGATTCAGCCCTTGTTGTCTGTATGTGATAAGGTCTCAGTAAGAGGGCTAATGCCTCTGTGTCCTGAGATATTTCCGTAGAAAGTAAGTTTCCCTTGGTGGATATTACTTTACTCTGACTGCTGTGGTCCACAGGAGTGTGGTCCTTTTGTTTGGCGGTGGCTGCTCCAGTTATGGTTTTGGTTCCGACTTGGCTGATCTCTGTGTTTTTTTTCTTGCTCTGGCACTTGTACAGCAGCTTCTGCTCTCCGGGTCTCTGCTACTGCTTCTCTGGCAGCTGCAGGTGACTGGGTCACTCCCGGCACAGCGCTGGGGTCTGGCGGCGCTGGTGGTGCGGTGTTTGGGCGGTGGTGGCAGCGCAGTGTTCTCTCGCCGTGGTGCAGGCTGCAGCTGCAGGTCCGGCAGCAGCGGTGGCATGGTGGTCCGGGTGGCGACGGGTCACAGCAGCACGGCTCCCGCACAGCTGTGTTGGGGGAACGCGGGGCTGGGTTCGGCGGCGGCGGCGGTCCACGTGGCTCCTCCGTTTGGCGGATTAGTGCGGTGGTCCAGGCGGCGGTGGGATCCTGCAGTGGCTGCTATAGGTCCAGCAGCGGCATGGGCGAGAGGGCTCATGCGGCGCATGGGCAAGTGATCGCTGCGGTGGGCAGCGGCAGTGGCGGTCCATGTGGTCACAGCGCTTGGTGCTTCAGCGGCGGCAGTGGCATGGGGCTGGCAGGGTCCCGTGGGGCAGGCAGCAGCGGTGACTGCAGTGGCGGTGGCAGTGGGGTCCTGGTTGAGCGGCGCAGCTACCCTGTTCGGTTTTTCAAGCAGTGGTGCCTGCAGTCACTGCTCGGGAGCGGCCCCTGCCACGGCGCTGGCTGCTCACACTGCCCGCTCCCAGTTCCCGTTGCTCCACTCTCCACTCACATGTTCGCCAACTCCTCTTTGCTTTTCGCCGCAGTGCTGTCCTGGTCTCTCAGCTTCTCTTCTTCTTTTTCTTCTCTGTTTCCATGCACTTTTCTCTATTATTTTTCTGAGCTCATTTCTAATTTGTGTCTTTCAGTACTGGCTGAGAACTGACACTTTTAAGACATCTAAATTTTTTTCGGTAAAAGATTCCTGTGTTCTGTAACGAACATGTTCCAGAATCTACTGCTTCCCTTGCTACAAGGTTTTTTAATTTGGGTCCTAATACAAGGTCTAGCTCCACGTTGGGTGCCACATGTTGGGTTTATTAATATAATAAAAAAATGCAGCCCGACTCCTAGCTGGGTTGCAGCCAAAAGGGATTTATTTCAAAACATAGCGCCTTTTTATCCCTTTGGGAACACGTGACCAAGTAACCAGTGGGAGTACAGACTCCCGCGCATGTCCTGGACTTCTTCTCCTGGGATGCCTCGCTCGCATCCCCTGGACACACCTCCTACAGTTGCAGTCTGGTCAAGAGTGGTGGTTGCAGTCCAGTTGAGGTTCTAGTCCTCCTCTGGTTCTGACAAGTGGTACCAGAAGTCCCAAGACCCCAAGATTGTATACACTCAGGTTGGAGTGGGAATGCCCCGTACCTCTACCAGGGCAGGGAGTTCCACAGTGGGTGATTGTGAGTTGTGAGATATTTTTGGAATCCTTGGTGGCCCTTTAGCAGACATGATCCCTTCAGGGTGGGTGTGCAGGTGCTAATGACTCCCTAGAGGGGAGTTAACATCACCCATAACTATAGCCTGAGGGGTCAGGTATGCTCTGGGCAACTGCTGCAAATGGTCTATTGTTGACAGTTCCTGGGAAACGACATAGAGGGTATAGAATACACAGTTTGGGTTACACCCACACAGTGATGAACTGCTCCTGGCTGCTCTAACTAGGACAATTATTTTCCTGCCTTTCTCAAAAACTTCTTCTGCTGTTTTGCCCCATACAATGATATCATCAATATATTGAGGGTGTTCTGGAGCTCTCCCCTGTTCCCATGCAGTCTGGATTAGTCCATGGCAGATGGTCGGGCTGTGTTTCCATCCCTAGGGCAGTTGATTCCAGATATAGTGGACACCTCTCCAGGTGAAGGCAAACTGTGGCCTGCACTCTGTTGCCAGAGGAATGGAGAAAAACGCCCTGGCAATATCAATTTTGGCACCACTCAGTTGCCTTTGACTCCAGTTCATACTGAAGTTCCAACATGTCTGACATAGCAGCACTCAGAGGCAGCGTGACTTCATTCAGGCCATGATAGTCCACTGTCAGCCTCCGCTGCCCATTCGACTTTTGCACTGGCCATATGGGGCTGTTAATGGGTGAGCAGGTCCTACTGGTCGCTCCTTGGCTCTACAGTCGACAAATTAGCTCATGGATGGGAATTATGGAGTCTCAGATGGCATGATTGCCATCGGTGCAGTGTTCTGGTGGCAATTGGCACTTGTTGGTCTTCAACTTTCAGTAATCCCACAATGAAGGGTCTTCTCAGAGGCCAGATCTTAAACAGTGCACCTGTGAGCTGTCAAGAAACAAGGCAGCACCCCCTCAACTGCGTTCCATCCTGCGTAGCCCATCCCTTCAGCAAGTGCCAGGAAACCACAGCAATCCCTGCAATTCCCTTATTATGTGATCCCAATCCTAAATTCTCCCTTCTAACATGTTCTGCTTACTTTCCAGGATCTCGTAGTCCACAGAAGACCACTATCACTAAGCTTTTAGACACCATGGAGCAGTGGCATCTCGGGCTGGAAACAATTTTTAGGGGGGGAGTCACTCAGCAAATGCAGTTGTCCACTTGTTTTGAAATTTTGCTTTCTCTGTTTGTTTTGTTACTAACTATTTCTTGTGTCACAGCATGCTGCAAGAAGGACTATCACAACAGACATTTTTCAAACTAATAAGAAAGGGTGAGATGTAGAGAAGCAAGATTCAGGATGGGAACAGTTCCAGACATGGAGAAAAGCATACAGCAATTGGCAGGACTTTCATATGGACTTTACTGTTATTATGTGGTTTCACTGTATCCATGCTACACAGTGCACAACTGCACATGCCCAGGCTTCCTCCTCCCCCTTTTGCCTGTACCCTATTCTGATTTGCTCCAACTCAGCATTCTTCCCTTTTAACTTTTCTTCCATCTGTGCAAGTTCAAGACCTTGAGATTTGATTTCTTGTTCCAATTGCTTCACCAACTTTTCAGCTTTCTTCTTTCTCCTTTGCATGTAATTTATTCAGCTCATTCATGGTATCATTCAGCGCTTCTTCAAGAAGAAGTCTCTCCCTTGTTACCTCATCCTGCATGTCATGGTTTGAGATAGCCCCAAAATCCAATTTCCCTAGCTCCATCCCCCCTCCCACATCTCAACCTAATGTGAGATGGGTTTTTTCCAGACAAAACACAACCAGACTCAAAGTGGGGGAAAGGGAATATATTACAATGACTGTACAAATAAATACTTATACTATAACACATTATACACACGATCACAACTATCTCTACCATGACATATAGTATTTACAATGGATCAGATCTCCTCTCCCCTCCAAATAAAAGTCCAGGAGGGAAAGAAGGACAGATCCTTTCCAGTCTCTCAGGGCGGCAGCTTCTTCTAAGGCAGCAGGTTCTCCTCATCTCATGCATGCAGCAGCTGATAGCGGGATCTCTGCCAGCACTCATGAGGGGGGTATCCCCCTCGGCCCCTTGACGCAGGCAAAGGGGTCTTCCGGGGCCTTCGTAACCCCAGACAAGGCCGTTCCACCACATCATATCACGAAGACGCAGGGGGTCTTCGTGACGGTCTGGTATCTCCAGGAGATTGAAGCTCCTTGCAGGGCCTCTGTGCCCTGTCTCAGGCTGCGAGCTTCCTTGTAGCTTGCAGCAAGGGAGGGCCCCCAAGGCCAACCTCCCACACCGTCCTGGCTCAGTTTTCAGGACGACTGAGCTTCTCAGCTCCTCTCTGCAGTGCATGTTGCACTTCAAGGCTCTTTCAAGTAAGAGTCCATCATCTTCCTCCTCTCCAGGAGGTCTCAAAGGAGTTTGGGGGGTCTGGTATCAGTTCCTACCCCCAGAACTCCGTAGTTCTGCTGCTACTTTTTGCTGCTTCCTCCGGTTCAGTTCTTATCTGTCCTGGCTCTTATCCAGAGTCTCTCGACACTGCCGCCGCTTCTGCTCTGTCTCTGTAGCCCCCAACTGGGGCTGGGGGCCCCCAGAGGCCCTGAGGGGCTCCGGGCCCCTTTCCTCGTGGCTCTGCCACAACATGGCTACTCTTCTACCCACCAAACTACAACTCTTCTCTTCCGGTGCTTGTGATATGTTTACATTTCTGCAGGAGCGCTCATTGGGCAGAACTTCAAAACTTCCAGGGGTTTCCACCCCTGGGGGTTACCACTTTTCAGCCTCTGGGGGAAAACAAGGTCCAAACCACTACACTCCAGTAACCTCTGCTGTGTTAATGCAGATGACTCCTTCTCTTGCTGCAGCTGAGAGACAACCTCCTCATGTTTCTGAAGCAGTTTTTGGTGTTGTTCTTCCTCCAAAACAATTTTTTTTTTCAGGTCTTCTATTTCAGCATTCATACTCAGGAATTTTCCTCTGGTCTCAGACAACTCTTTCTCTTTTTCTTGTTGAAGCAATTGACACTTTTCATTAAGTTCTTTCATCAGTTTACATGATTCCTCTTTTGTTTTGAGGGTATCCCTCAGGACCTCAATATCTTGGTCTTTCTTAATCAGTGTCTCCTCCATCTGAGCAATATCTACTTTGTATTTCTCAGCTGTTTCTGCAACACTACTGAGCTCTGTGATGTATTCCAAGAGTTTTTCAGTGTCAGACTTTTCTACAACTTTCTCTCTCTCAGTAGCAGACAGTTTTTCTTCTAACTGTGCTACTTTTTTTTCCCTGGCGGGATGCTTAAGAATCAGACACACGCCTGAATAAACAAGTCTGCTTGCACCCTTCCTCGTGTCCTGTCTCCCTTTCGGACCGCGACAGGTTGGGGTTGCACTGTGCGATCAAGGACCTTCAGTCCTAAATACAGCCACAGAGATTGGCATTGCACCTTTTCAGGGGCAACAACAAGGCCGAATTTGTGTAAGGACAGTCATGTTTGGACTTCCATTGAATTTAAGATTTGAGGTGATGGATCAGCTAAAAGAATGTCATCCATAGAGTGGTGTGGTGGTTTGAAACTTCCAAGAATCTAATTTCTAAGTTCAAGCCCCTCTTCCACAGTTTGCCCCTTTGAGAGGGTTTAGTGATGGTATGGACTTGATATCTTTTTCACCTCATGTGGAGAGTTTTCAGACAAAACACAACCATCCATTTTGGGGGAAGGGGAAAATATTTACAAAGGTTTATTTACACACACATATATATTTACATTAAATTAAATTTCTCCTTTTCTTCAATAAAAGTCCAAGAAGAAAAGAGAAAAGTCTTTCTGTCACTTCTCAGGCCACAGTTCCTTCATTTCAGTTTTCTTGTGGCACTGGTTACTGTCCTTCATTTTCCTGAGGCAGCAGATTTAAGTATGGCAGTCAGGATTTTGGTTCTTACTTTGTGGAAATTCCATCCCCAAGCACGAGCCTTCGAGGGTTTTCCTTGTAGATCTTCACTCCTCTTGGGTTAGAACATTGAAGACAGCTTTCAGTTCAGTCTTACCAAAGCTCTTCTGCTCTGTCTCAGCTCGCCAGCATGATAGAAGCAGCAGCAGTAGCAGAGGGCATGGCCACCTCCTCCGCATTCCATCCTGGTTCAGCTCTCAGGACGACTCCGGGTTTTTTTCAGCTCCTTTCTCTCTCTCTCTCTCTAGCTGCTGCTGCATTTCGGGACTCCCTAAGGGTTTGGAAGTCCACCCCTCTTCTTCAGGAAGTCTCTGAGTTTTGGGAAAGTAATACAGTCTTACCCCAAACCAGCTCTGTTGAGTTTTCCTCTGTTTTGTTGCCAGCTCTCCCTCCTGCAGGAACATCTCGTGTCTTTCAGACGACTTCACATTATCTCATTGCTACTGGCTATCTTTTAGCTATTGCTTTTAGCCATCGCTGTCTCTGTTCAGGAATGCTCCACTGCCACTTTCAGTGTCTTCTGCTGCTGCTGCTGACAGCTCTTGATTATGGGACCCTGTCCAGCTTTGACACTATACCGGGTCTCCCGTAGCCTCAGCTGGGGGCTGGGGGCCCTTGGCCCCCAGAGGGGCTCACTGGCCCCCTGCTTCCTCCTGGCTCAGATCATGGCTACCTACCTTCTAAATTATCTTCACCACCTTCTCTTCCATTTCTGTGGGTATGTAATTTCCATAGGGTGCACGTGGACTGTTGATTGGTCCAGTATTATCAGTGGGGCAAACCATTACTACCTCAGAGAAAAGGTTTTTCAAACCACCACAGGTGGTAATAAAAACAGTTAGGAAAACATTCTCTGATGGGACTTAAGGCTTGGGCCACAAACCATGGCATATGTTGGGAGAATTTTTCATCCCTTGAGGAAGTACTTTCCAATGGTATCGCTGTGTAGGTTCTGCATGATTTACAGACAGGACAGTAAAGGCAAATTTTTCCATGTCATTCTGGTCTTGGGGGATGGTAAAAAAACAATCCTTAAGATCCATGACAATGATTTCCCAATGCATAGGAATCATGGCTGCAGAAGGCAAACCAGGTTGTAGTGCACCCATGGTGGCCATAACAGCATTGATCCGTCGCAAATCAGGCAGTAACCGCCATTTCCCTGATTTCTTTTTTGTAACAAACACAGGAGTGTTCCGGGGACTGTTGGAAGGTTCAATATGGCCTGCTCTTAGATGCAGAGCTTCAAGTTTCTCTTGATTGAGGGGCCACTGGCCTACCCATATTGGTTTGTCAGTCAGCCATTTAAGGGCTAATGTGGGTCTCTTCACGCCCTGCAACATAGTGGCCCCTATTGAAAATTCGTGGTGATGCGCACGGACAGCTTTCCTCCTGATGCTTTTCCTTTCTTTCAGGGTACATCAATATGTTGTCAGGGCTAATGCCTTCATTCTCAATCACATTCTCATTCCATGTCAGGGTCTCGGTCCAGCTGAAATTCCCCACAAACCTTGAATGCCACTATTAAGGAAACTGGCCTTGGATGTCAAAATTAAGGAAAGGAAGCAATTTGTTTCATCCATCCAAACGATCCCTTATAGGATATCCCAGGACAGGTACAAAACCAGCTAGAATCATGAAAAAAATTAGTAAAAAGGCCATTGTTTATATTATCCTTTCTTTGTTCCTAAACAAAGCAATATTTATATAAACAAAAAAACCTCTTGGCAGCTGTCCCAGTAGTTTTCCAAAATAATAAAGTATGTTTATATAAACAATATATCTTGGCAGCTTTTTAGACAATATCCCCAGACAATGCGTTTTGTTTATACCACCTTGGTTGTCTTCCCAAGCAATGTTTTCAAAACAATCCCAAATTAACCAAAGTAGCCCCGTACGGGCCACCAAAAAAATGTGTGAGTTTCAAGCTGGCTCTCCGACAAATTGCTGAGACCCAGCAAAAAAGCCTACTCCCTAGAGAGGGAAGAAAAAACCTGAACAGCCAAAGCTATAGCAAAAATATATATTAACAATTATATATATACAATTTGAATATATTGTACACACAATAGGGAGCTCCTGAGGGAGGAAAAAGAGAAAAGGGAAGGGGAAACAGGGATAAAAAAAAACCACTAAAACAAATATCCTCCAAATATACACTGTTACTATAGAGCTAGCGAATAAATAAAAAAAATGAATTAAATACTTCCCTGAATGAGACAGCAGAACTGTGCGAAGCACCAACCAACTCCCCCACGCCTCCCAAAGGGAATGGAGATAATGGCAGATTGGAGCAGACAGGCCCTGGCCTATACAAGCAAAGACTGTCTGCTGAGAGACCTGTCGCCTTCAGCCACCGGAAGAGAGAAGAAAGCGAGCTCTCTTATCTGCGCCCTTTTATATGTTGTGTTACAGAAAGGGATGATATGGAATACTTCCTTAGATTTCTGACCCCGTTGCTAAGGAAGGCCTAAAAAATCAAAAAAACCAACCCACTACATGTGTGCAGTTTCAACAACCTGAATAAGTTAATT